CGCGCGCTCCTGGTGCTGCCCGGTGAGTGGCGGGTGAGGGGGGACGCGAGCACCCCCGGCTTGGGGTGTGCGTGGGCTTGGGGGGTACATTTTCCCATGGGAAAGTGTTGACCCAGAGACCGTGGTGGGGTTTCGTCCTGAAATGTGGCTGGGCCACAAGGGAAGGTCCCCCGGGACGTGCAGCGAGCTGGCAGAGGTGAGGGGAGCGGGAGGGGTTTGGTGCTGGGGGCTAAAATAAAACCTGGGACCAGCAGCCCGGGGTCTCTCCTGCGAGCCCACCCGAGGGGCTGGCCGTGGTGACGTGTCGACGCCAGCGTGGTGGCTTCGCCTTCGCCAGCCCCAACGGCTGTCCAGCTGCTTTTTGAAGCCCATGTAACTGCAGGGCTGCCCAGTTGGAACCTGGCAGCTGCCAGATTCTCCTGCTTCCCCCTTCCCTTGTGGGCACTGACCGAGATTTTGGGGTTTTCCCCCCCATTTCCCCACGTGCTCTTCTTCCAGACGCTGCTGGGGCACAGGAAAGCTGTACCGGTGAGTGGTCCCCCCCATCCCTGCCCTTGCCCCCAGTGCCCGCCCAGTGCCACGGCACCCAGTGGTCACCCTGCTCCCCTCCTGCCCAGCCCTGAGGCGGGGTGACAGGCACCACTGGTGCTGTGACATGATGGTGGAGTCAGAGGAGCAAGGCAACGGGACCCTCAGCCTCGACTTGCCCCGGCGCTGCCCGGAGCTGGGGCAATCCGGCAGCCCCGCTTGCGCCTGCCTGCGGGAGCGCTGGCTCAGGTAGCGGGCACAGGGTGGCCATTGTGGGGTTTGGGGGCTCAGCCCCCCAGGTCCCCCAGTCCCACAGCCTTCCTGCCCCGCAGGCTGGTGCAGGCGGTGGGGCCGGCACTGCGCAGCGGGCTGGCCGGGCTGAAGGTGCTGCTCCTGAATGTCAGCAGGGCTGTCACCCGTGATGTCCTCATCAGCTTTTCCCCCACAGAGGTGAGATGTGCCCCTCTCCCTTGCTCGGAAAGCCTCGCGCCTTCCAAGCATCCCTCGGCCCCTGGCCTGGGGCTTGCCGTGCCCTGGTGTGCTCTTTCGCCACTCTGCTCCATGGTTGCGTCATGGACCCACGTCACCCTGAGCGTCTCCTGGCAAGGAGTCACGTGAAATGGTGCTTGTGGGAAGGAAGAGCCCTCCTCGAGGAGCCGTGCCAGCAGCAGACGGGTGGTCAGAGGGAGGGGGAGGAAGAGGAGGAGGAGGAATGTGTGGGACCTCGCACCTCCTGCCCACCCCCAGGTTCTCCCACTCTCTACATGTCCCAGGGGACCATGTCCCACGGGCTGATGGTGGGTTGGAACTCTCCTGGGAGCTGCTCCCAGCTCTGCCCCTCATCTGCTGGGTGCTGGGGCTGAGGTTCTCCCCATCTGCACTCAGGGCTCCCGACGATGCTGCTGAGCAAAACCCCCCGGGCAGGGCTGACTTTGTGCCTGGAGCGAGGCTGGTGGGTCCTGAGCAGAGAGGTGACTCCACCAGGAAGCAACCCCTCGCCGCTGTCTGCCGCAGGGCCCCAGGGTGTCGAACATGACTGAGCATGGGAAGGCAGGCAAAATCCAGCTCCCCATGGAGATATTCTGGTCCCTGAGCAGCCAGACAGTGCACGTGGTGGTGA